TGAGTATTTGTGAGGGCCTAGAATAAAAAGAGGCAGTGACAACTCTCCGATAACCTCAATATTAAAAGATGTGGCCAAAGAAAGAGAAACTACCTAAGACAGAGATTCATTTCCTATCTCCCAAGGATGTAATTCAATAGGTAGAATGCAATAAAAATTATATGCAGAAATATGTATAATTATATACATGTATTTTGTGAACTCATAGATAAAATCAAAATCTCAAAATAAATAGGGTATTTGACTCAAAAAAGATTAAAAGCTGCCCATCTCAGATTAAGCCATCAGAGGAGAACCAGCAGAGAGTGGTAATGATAGTCAAAATTTCCATTATTTTCAGTTCAAAAAAATAATTTTAGGTGATAAACTGTGATTCTTCCAATGGAAAAAGTTAAGAGCAAGATGATAACAAGGGAGGAGAAAGAGGGCACAGAAGCTTCCTGCCATTGGAACCACCTTCTCTCTACCCACCTTCAAGTTCAGATATAATTAGAAAAGGAAAACATGATTGCCCAGTACACACCCGGACTGAGCATAAATGAAATGAAAATCTCATGAGCGTAAGTTGAGCTGCCTTTAAAAAAGAAGAGGCTAAGTGAGTATATTTTACTTTTAGAAACTAGAAAAGTGTGCAGATGCTACAAAACTGACTAAAAAATAGATGCTGTCACACAATATGCCCATGTAACAAACCTGCACATGTACCACCGAATCTAAAATTAAAGTTAAAATTTTTTTTAAAAACTACCAAACAAAAACTAGATGCTAATCTCTAAATTTTATTTAATCACGATACTTCCTGAAGAGTCATTAATTTGTTTTCTTCTGTGGCCCACCTGGAAAGCCCCTTACTCTCCTAATGTAACACGAACTGTTTTCTCCTGGTTCTTTGTCTTGCCAGCTTCTTATTTTTAACAAAGATGAGAAGACAAAGCACACTTCCTCTTACATTTCATTTCATTTCATTTTCATTTTATTTGTGTGGTTCAATAAAAAAGGAAAAATGATTGGTGTTTGGGACTTCGTGAGAGAATGGACATCTGTAGCAGGACAGGCTTCAGGGATTCAGGGGCTCAAGAATCTGTCTCAGTCACCATCTATCTGTCATCTGTCTAACCAGCTACACTCTATCCAGGTTACTCCAGAAATGTTTCTTTCCTCATCTCTCTCCCACCAGAACATAAACTCCATGAAGAGAACTTCTGTGTGCTTTGTTCACTGTTTGTTCTCAGTCACTAGAACAACTTGTACTTAGAAGATAGTGGATGCTTTTTGAACAAGTAATGTTTGTTGAATGATAAGTAAATACATATTCTTAGGATGTCATCAGGAGGAAATCTATCCCCAAGAAAAATTACTGCTATGGACCATGGATTTCTTGGTGTGCTTTGAAATTTTGCTTTGTGCTCTTATCTTACATAAGGGTGTCTACCCCATTCAGGTCTTTCTCTTGGAGTGGTTTTGAGGTGGCCTCAGCCTGGCCCTCTGGGCTACCCAGACATTGACTAAGTTAGAAGGTTGGGGTTGTCACCCCTTATAGGCAAAACAGTCTCAAAGACTCCACCCACATGCAGCTCAAGCATCCTCCCCATCCTGACTCAGATGCCTCTCTTTCCCACTGGAGCTACAAGCATGGCCCATTTCCACCTGCAACGCAAGTAATGTGGCTTATATTCCTTGTCCAGTACTAACATCAGTTTGTCCCTACTCACCACTATCCATTCTTGGTTCACTGTTCTTCCTCTTTTTCTTAAGTTCATATATGTATTTTATAATTTTTTAAATACCTTTTTTCAATTATTCTTATGTTTCTGGAATAGAATGAAGAAGATTATATGATACACCATCTTGAAGTCACCTTAAGTTTTTGAAGCTCAAAAAATTGGGAAAGTAATTGATTCTCTTTTCTCTCTGAAATTACTCAACGAAAAATACCTATGTTGTCTATATTGGCCTCCTTTGTGAGAGGTAGATTTTTTCTTTTCAGAAAATCATAATTAGTGGATTGTTCTAACAGTGAATTTTGTTTTCCTAGATCAGCTGTAATTGATTCCTTATTTATTTGGTAAACACTTATATGACACTATGCGCCAGTCATTGTTCTAAGTACTTTACAAAGATTAACTTATTTATGGATAGTAGTACATTATGTTCATAAATGGCTGCAACAGTTCCTCTTATCCCTGTATGGATACTCCTTTACTGCTATATAAACAAGTCTAGAGGCAAAACTTAAACCAGGCGCCATGGCTCATGCCTGTAATCCCAGCACTTTGAGCGGTCAAGGCAGGTGGATCACCTGAGGTCAGGAGGTCAAGACCAGCCTGGCCAATGTAGTAAAACCCTGTCACTACTAAAAATACAAAAATTAGCCACACGTGGTGGCAAGTGCCTGTAAACCCAGCTACTCAGGAAGCCGAGGCAGGAGAATCGCTTGAATCCAAGAGGTGGAAATTGCAGTGAGCTGAGACTACACCACTGCACTCCAGCCTGGGAGACAAGAGTGAAACTCCATCTGAAAAAAAAAAAAAAAAAAAAAAGAAAGCAAAAGAAAACAAGCCACATGTAGAGAGAGAGAGAGATCCAACTAACAGGCAGCACCAATTGTTAGACATATGAGAGACCAATGTGGGCCACACTGCCCCAAATGTGGCCTGCAGCCATACAAGAGCCCACAGCCAGACTAGCAGAACTGCCAGCTGATCCTGGCACAAATTGCCAGCATGGGCTTACAAGTGTTTATTGATGTAAGACTAAAATTTGGAATGGTATGTTATGAAATATTAGATAATTGATATAATTGCTTTTATTCAAAGACTACCTCAAATATTGCATTTCATATATCAATGGCTTATTTCAAATTTTAGAACTATGTCCTAAATTAGATGGACCCAGAGTTTTCTTTATTGTGATAGATCTTTGTTTAGTTTGACACTACATTTAATTAGACTTATAAAATCAGAGCGATAATATTCAACTTCTTCTATTCTACAAAACTATTTAAGTAGCATAAAATTACTCATTTCCTTTTGTTTTGTTTTTTGTTTGTTTGTATGTTTTCAGATGGAGTTTCACTCTTGTCGCCCAGGCAGGAGTGCTGTGGTGTGATCTCAGCTCACTGCAACCTCCACCTCCCAGGTTTAAGGGATTCTCCTGCCTCGGCCTTCCAGGTAGCTGGGATTACAGATGTCTGCCGCAACACCCAGCTAATTTTTGTATTTTTAGTAGAGACAGGGTTTCACCATGTTGGCCAGGCTGGTCTCAACCTCCTGGCCTCAAGTAATCCACCTACCTTGGCCTCCCGAAGTGCTGTGATTACAGGTGTGAGCCACTGCACCCAGCCAAAATTGCCTATGTCTTAAAGATTTGTTAGAACTTATTCATAAAATTATCTGAGCCTAGTGGCTTCATTCACTGTAAATATTTTACTAACTTTTCAATATATTTTTAATTTATTATTTCCTTGTTAGTCTATTCATTTTATTTTATTTATATATAGTTAAAAATGAGGTTTTCCACTTCTTAACCTATTGAAATACTGTAAATATAGGGATTTTTATTCATTTAGAAAGTTAACAAAGAAAATCTAAAGCCATAACATTTTTCTTGTTACCAATTACCCTAATGCTGACTAAATGCTCACTAAAATAATTTAAGCAACAGGGATATTTAAAATAATTTCATTGATGCTAATCAAAAGGTCTGTTTTATGCCATTTTAAAATACACCAGTAGGTGGAACTCTGACAATAGTTAAATAATCTTTGTTAGTATTTCCTGTCTCTGTTCCCTGCACTATTCTCATTTTGTATGTTGAAAAGAACAAACTACATGTATTCTGAAATCAAAGGGACATTATATAATAATTTAAGGAAGTATTCAGGTAGACAATAAAATGTAGAATTTAGAAAAATACCCAAAAATTTCAACTATATACATAAGAAGAAAATATATCAACAAAGACTCTATTAATATATTTATATACTTTAAATGGATACAATTTAAGTGTCTAAAAATAAAAAATGATTAAATAAATTACAATATGTTTATATGATATAAAGCATTAAAATGATGTAATTTAATGCTCAGTATAAAAATACAATATAAATTTTATCTACTTTTTATAAAAATTACACACATACACATAACATGGAAAGATAGCAACATATTGATATTGATCATTTCCAGATGGTGATTTTCATTGTCTTTTTGCATATTTTTTTAACTTCCAAATTCTCTTGAAGGAGACTGATTTGCTTTCATAATCAAAAGAAAATTTTTATTTACAATGTGATTGGCATTCTTCTTACAGAGTCATATCTCATTAGTAATACATAAATATCAAATTAATGAATGATATTGGCAATGACCTTCTTAAAATTCTGTCCTGGGATCTGCTTATTCATGGCAACATATAAGTTCAGACTTAAAGGAGGAGAAAATGAGAGATCCAAAGAAGGGTAGAAGGCTGTGGAAAGGGATAAAAAGATGCTTAATCACCCCTCCCTCTTTCCTCCTTTGATATGGTTCACTTGTCCTTTAAAACCAATGAATGGGTTTGTATGTGCCCACAGCCTTAATGATGGGAGGGGATTCTCCCAGGTTCCTCCCCGCAGGTGGGGAGAGAGAAGGCTCTGTGGCCTGAGCACCAGGGCTGCGGCTGGCCCCAGAGCAAGAGTGAGAGGGGATCCCAGAAACTTCAAATTACAGAATCTGCCTGGGAACCACCACAGCCCTTCAGCAGCTGGTTGAGCTTCACTGAAAAGATCAAGATTATTGAGGATATTTATATCACTTCGATGGATACTTCTGTTAAAAAGACATATTATGTACAAGGGCTTGGTCAGAAATCATTGCATTTTTGTTTTGTGTAGGACTTTATCCTTTGCCACTTTGAGGAAGGTACTCTGGATTCTCTTGAGAGCAGGTGCTCTGGGCCCTGCTCCCTGGGCTGACGGGAGTGAAATGAGGCACCGCAGGACAGCACGCTAGTTCCCATAGGAGATAGGAAATAAAATACTGAGAGGAGTTCGAGGCGCTGCCGCCGCAGCCGCCGGAGCCGCGTTGCCTAAAGGAGGGAGAAAGGGAGGCCATGAAGGCCGGGCGAGGCAGTATACGAGCCCTGAGGAGATCGACGCACAGCTCCAGGCTGAGAAGCAGAAGGCCAGGGAAGAAGAGGAGCAAAAAGAAGGTGGAGATGGGGCTGCAGGTGACCCCAAAAAGGAGAAGAAATCTCTAGACTCAGATGATAGTGAGGATGAAGAAGATGACTACCAGCAAAAGCACAAAGGCGTTGAAGGGCTCATTGACATCGAGAACCCCAACCGGGTGGCACAGACAACCAAAAAGTTCACACAACTGGATCTGGACGGGCCAAAGGAACTTTCGAGGAGAGAACGAGAAGAGATTGAGAAGCAGAAGGTAAAAGAGCGTTACATGAAAATGCACTTGGCTGGGAAGACAGAGCAAGCCAAGGCAGACCTGGCCCGCCTGGCCATCATCTGGAAACAGCAGAAGGAAGCTGCCAGGAAGAAGGAGGAGGAAAGGAAAGCAAAAGATGATGCCACATTGTCAGGAAAAAGAATGCAGTCACTCTCCCTGAATCAGTAAATGCGAGATGCCGGGGACCTGGGCCACGCTTCCAGGACCTCTACTGTGTCTCACCTACCCTGTGCCCTGGCGCCACTGCAACAACCCCTCACGGCCAGGAGTCCCCCACGGCCTGGGGCCTCCTCTGCATCTTGGCACAGCAATTGTTTGGGGAGATGGGGGTGCTGAGGGAGGAGCAAGCTGCTATCTTTGAGACAGAAAGATGCAGGACAGCATTTCGTATGTAACCGTTTGAATGTTTTCACTGTTTTTAGAATTCAGAGCCCTTGCTGGGGGGTGCCTGGGAGATGGGGTATGAAGAGCTTTCCTTTGTCTGGTAGATAGCACGGAAGTGGGTGGTCGTGCCAGGAGGCAGCTGCTGATGGGTTTGCTACAACCAGCCCGGACTGTGTTGCCTGGGTGCTCAGTTCAAAGAGGGGCTGTCATCTGGGAGCCTGTGCCCCTGGGTCCTTAAGGGTCATGGCTTGTCTGTCCTGTCTGCCCTTCCCACCCAGTTCCTACCCACCTGGCCAGGGCCAGTGCCCATTTTTAACCCACCCATTGATCATTTCAAGAAACCTGTTTACTGTGCAGCACCCAGGCAAAACACGCTCCACAAATTCAACTTATTTGGCAGATTAAACTTGACATTATTGTAAAAATATATATATATATACTGAGAGGAAAGAATCCTACTCCACACAACTCCAGTGGGAAGGCAGACAGGGCAAGAGCATGGGCAAAAGCATACTGTCTTTTGTTTTATATTTTAGTCACTTTTTTGGCAGTATAATTTGCACAGAATAAAATTCACCAATTTTAAGGGTACATTTGATGAGTTTTGACCATTTCCATCATTTCTGAAGGGTACCACTTCAGAAATGCCCCCTCATGCCACTTTGCAGCCACTCTCCCTCGTGTTTTACATTTCAGATGGGCATAATGATGACATCCCCAAAATAAAACTATGACTTGTGGTTGGCAAGAACAAAGGTAGTCATGGGAGTGATATGACACATGAACTTGAGACTGTCCCCAAAACCTGGGCCATCAGGATATTATACATATAAAGATTAGGTGGTTTTAAGTCTGGAAAAGCAGAGAAATAGAGGCAATAGGAGAAAGTGAATCCTACCCTGGATCTGCATGTTTATAGTTATAAAGCCCATTAACAAGCATATCCCAGGGCAGGATTTTAAGAAGGTTGCAAAGGAGATGGGAACGTAAGGAAAAGTGAATAAAAAAGGAGGCTGGAGAGAGTGGTGGCAGGAGTAGGAATAGAATAGACCAGAACTGACTACCTACTTTTAATTTTTTGTTTCTACCTTTTCTGAAATAATCCAGATAGTGAGATTGGTATGGGGAAGACATTGAAAATAGAGTTAAAAAAAAAAAAAAGTACTAGGCTGGGCACAGTGACTCACATCTGTAATCCCAGAATGTTAGGAGATGAAGGCAGGAGGATCTCTTGAAAATAGGAGTTCAAGGATGCAGTGAACTATGGTCATGCCACTGCAATCCAGGGCAATAGAGCAAGACCTTATCTCTACTTCGAGAGTTTAAAAACTAGAATAATTGAGTTAAGAAGGAGAAGACATGAAGGGGGAAAATCCAGTATTTCTTGGTTGTTCTCATTAAGATCCTGAGCTAGTCTATTTCCCATGCACATTGAGAAAGGTGATGTTTTGAAATATTCAGTTTTTGCTTTGAAGCCCCTTTCCGAGTGGTTTCTCATTTATTGTGTGCATGTGTGGCAAACTTTCAAATACCAGGATTTTAATCAGCACACTGGAAAGGATGAATCTCTTCCCACTGTGTGCACCACAGGCTCAGGCTACTCACAGCACACAGACAAATGTTTTCGTGTGAAAGTCTGCTGCCTGACCTCACTCGGACTACAGGACTACATCCTCCAGAGGAAAGGACTCCATGTCAGCACACCTTCTTTCTTTGGCACCGTGAATTAAACCATGCCTCCTACCTCTCACTCAGAGCAAACTGCAGCCTGCTCCACTCTCTCAGCTCTTCATCTGACAGACATCATCATAAACATATCAGCTCCAGTTACAGCAAAACCAACTCTACAAACTGACCAACCAACATCGGTTTGCTTCCCTATACAGGGCCTCCAGTACAAAAGTGCCTTTTGGTATCCTGAATGACTCCTCCCTTCTTGTTATGCTATTCTCCCCACGTTTGCCATCTTGCTTCTCTTGCTTTAGCACCCTCATGGAATTTTTTTTTCTTACTTTTTTTTTTTTTTTTTTTTTTGAGACAGTCTTGCTCTGTCACCCAGGCTAGAAGACAGTGATACGATCTCAGCTCACTGCAAACTCTGCCTCCCAGGTTCAAGTGATTCTCCTGTCTTAGCCTCCCGAGTAGCTAGGACTACAGGTGCCTGCCACCACACCAGGCTAAATTTTGTATTTTTAGTGGAGATGGGGTTTTACCATGTTGGCCAGGCTGGTCTCAAACTCCTGGCCTCAAATCATCTGCCCGCCTCGGCCTCCCAAAGTGCTGGGATTATAGGCATGAGCAACTGTTCCCGGCTGAGTATCTAAGCTGCACAAAGTTCCCCAATACAGTGTTCTACCACCAATGCTTTTCTCTTCCTGGACACTTCTCTATGCCCTGGACTTTCCTAACTCCCATCATCAGTTTGATTCATATCCCATTCCGGGACCCACTCATGCTGGAAAAGTGGGCAGTAAATGGTAAGGTATTCCTGGAGTTGTATATTTTCCTACATGGTAACAGTTTGCATTTTAACAGGAACTCTTTAGAGTGCCTGAAAGTCTCATAAAGCAGTGGATCCTAACCAGGGGGAATTTGCTCCTAGGAGACATTTCACAACATCTGGAGACATTTCTGGTTGGCCACTAGAGGATGGGGAAATGCTACTGGCATCTAGTGGGTAGAAACCAAGAATGCTGCTAAACATCCTAGAATGCACAGAATAGTCCCCCACAACAAAGAATTATCTTATCTAGCCCAGATTGTCAGTAGTGGCGAGGCTGAGAAACTCTGACTTAAGGAAATGGCTCAGAGAATGAAGATAAAAGACTCTGTGGAAGGCTGGTAAAAGGAACTATTTTGAGGCAGTTGAGGTTTATGACATTCTTCAGTGCATACTTATTTAGGACTATATTAACTTCCGGCAACAATGGCACAGTCTAAAATCTGTCACTGTTACTTTTCAATATGAAGAAAATCGCCTTTGAATTACCTCATAGCCCCACACTCTCATTGAACACAAGAGTCATCCCAGCCATTGACAATACCACAGCATGGCTGCTTCTCAAATGTTTTTTCTCAGAAACAGAGTGACATGAGCCTTTTGCAGCACCTCATGGTAGGACCAGCACCTGCCTCTAGCTCCAGCCTATTATCTGGCTATTTTTTTTTTTTGAGTTGCTCTTTTACTAAGCATATGATTTAATTCATATTAAACCCACCTGTGTCACAAAGAATATCATGATGTGTTTCTATTCTATAAACAGAAAAGGCATAATATTCCAATATCCTTAATAGATTTGGCCCTAAAACTGGAAAATGATGTATTTTGCAAATATATTCACACTAAAACTGAGAACTGCAAGTCATTTCTTTGACCCTGAGCTGATGATGCACATTTACACTTCAAACCTGTAGCGAAACCTCAGAGCACCATTTGATGTTTACATGAAAATGGACTTCAAAGGCTGCGAGATGTTCCTGTTCATTCTGTGGGCACCGATTTCCAGCAGAATGTGATTATACCTCTGATTACCTATGCCTATTGTCATGGCAGTCCAATCTAAAGCTTTTTTAGAATTTAATAATTGTCTTTTGTTGACCAGGATAATAGTGCAGAGCGCCTGCAGCACACGTGAAACAGCCATGCACAATACCCGCAAGTAAGTGGCTCGGGTAATTGAAAAACAGACTAAATCCACTGGACTTTTGTAATGAAATAAACTATGAATAGAAGAATAAAATGTCATCAATGGCTGGATGTATATTGTTACTTTGAAGCCTTTCCAAGCTACCACCATCATCAGATCAGAGTAGATGCTAACACCCACTACTTTAAATAATTATTGGATTATTTTTTCTCATTATTTATCACTCAGACTGTTCTGAACACCACCCCACTTGAGGTTATAATTAGTTCTCTGGAAAACCTTTTGCAAAATAAATGGTTCCTCTTTTGTAGTAACAGAGGTATGGAAATGGAAGACAGAAAGCAGGGGAAACAATTTGGTCTCCATTTCATGTGCCAAGAAATGAAGTCATGTTTGAATATTGATCATCGATTTAATAAAGCATGTTTCTCAGATATGCTTGGAAATTATGAAATTAGTAAAATATATATAGACATAAAACATTGTAACCAAATAGGCTTAGTACCATTTCAGATCTAGGTCCCATTAGGATTCAATTAATAAATATCACAGATAGAAATTGAGATGAGCACATGTATTTTTTTTTTAATTTTATTTTTTTTATTGCATTTTATGTTTGGGGGTACATGTGATGAACATGCAAGATTGTTGCATAGGTACACACATGGCAGTGTGGTGTGCTGCCTTCCGTCCCCTCACCTGTATCTGTCATTTCTCCCCATGCTATCTCTTCCCACCTCCCCACCCCCCGCTCCTCCCCCATTTCCCCTCAACGGACCCCAGTGTGTAGTGCTCCCCTCCCTGTGTCCATGTGTTCTCATTGTTCAACACCCACCTATGAGTGAGAATATACGGTGTTTGCTTTTCTGCTCTTGTGTCAGTTTGCTGAGAATGATGGTTTCCAGGTTCATCCATGTCCCTACAAAGGACCTGAACTCATTGTTTTTGATGGCTGCATAATATTCCATGGTGTATATGTACCACATTTTCCCTATCCAGTCTATCATCGTTGGGCATTTGGGTTGGTTCCAGGTCTTTGCTATTGTAAACAGTGCTGCAATGAACATTCGTGTACACGTGTCCTTGTAGTAGAATGATTTATAATCCTTTGGATATATACCTAGTAATGGGATTGCTGGGTCAAATGGGATTTCTATTTTTAGGTCCTTGAGGAATCGCCACCCTGTCTTCCACAATGGTTGAATTAATTTACATTCCCACAAACAGTGCAAAAGTGTTCCTATTTCT